ATCAGGTGGTGTCGGAGGCGGAGAAGATCGTGGGCTACCCCACGTCCTTCATGAGCCTCCGCTGCCTCCTGAGCGACGAGCTCAGCAACATCGCTATGCAGGTGCGGAAGCTGGTGGGGACTCAGCACCCGCTGCTCACCACCGCCAGGTGAGCTCCTCTCCCCCGGCGCGCTCGCACCCCCTCGCGAGTCCTTCTTAATGGCTGGCACACCGTTCGTGCTTCACTAAGACTGGCTCCCCGCCTCTCTCTCTTTACCTCCTCCTTTCCTCAGCCCTCCTAGACGTGGATGTTGTCTCTTCTCTAGTCCGCTCACCTTGACATTCTTCCTCTCTTTGCTCAGTTGAGCGGATGAGTGGTTTTCTTTTGAGGAATACGTGTCCACTTTTTGCGTTTTTCTTTAATAATTGAGAGTGAAGATGCCTCAGTGATTAGTGGAGGAACTGAGTTGGGGGTGTGAGTTTGAGTCACTTGCTAGAAATGGTCTTTTAAAAATGGGATGGATTCACTTTCGATTCTGCACTATTCAAGAGGTCACCTCTGGAAAGAATGGAAAGGGGAGATAGGCTGAAGGCAGACAGTTCTTTCCAAGAATGCCCCAGGCTTGACGTAGGGATTTATCCAGTCAGTAGTCATTATCCAGTCGGGATTTTTATCACTTATGCTGGAGTACCGTGAAACCTGCCATTAGGATTTTAAGGACCACAACTTTTGCTTCCACTTTAAAAAACACATACCAACTTTTTATTTGTAAATAATTTCAAAAATATTGAAGAGTTGCAAGAATAAAATAGTACAATGAGCACACTTGTATATCCTTTAATTAGATTCATGTATGATATATCTATACTAATAATAGACAAATATGTAAATTGGCCATCCCTCTGTGAGGCCCACAGCCAATCAGGAGAGAGTATGCAAATTAACCTGACAAAGATGGTGGGCCTGTGGGCAGCGTGCATGCGCCCAGCATGCATGGACCCCCTTTAAATACAGTTCCTCATGTTGTGACCCAACCATAAAATTGTTTTCGTTGCTACTTCATAACTGTAATGTTGCTACTGTTATGAATCGTAATGTAAATATCTGATATGCAGGATGGTGTTAGGCGACCCCTGTGAAAGGGTTGTTTGACCGCCAAAGGGGTCGCGACCCACAGGTTGAGAACTGCTG